ACCCCCTGCCACTCCTCACCCAGCAGCTACGTCATCAGCACCCAGTGCTCATGTCTCAGCCTTGCACAGGAAAGAAGAGCATTTCTTTCTTTCCCTCTTAAAATAAAATATTAAAAAAAGGCCCTAAAAGGCATTCTGTCCTATTTTAAAATCCTAAAGTTGATCTTAAGCCTTGAAGGGAGATAGATCGACTGAGCGAGACCAAAGCCTTTAAGCTAATTAATACCTTCCCCTCCCTACTGCTCAAAGATTTTTTTTTTCCTAAAAATACATCCATAGCCCATTTTTAATGCTGTCTTCCTTCACATCAATGTCCCCAGTAAAGCAGAGGAGCTGAGCTGTCATCTCTATCTCAGGATCTTCCCCTCCCCTCACTTCGAAGCTGGGACAGGGAGAGGAGAGGAGAGGAGAGGAGAGGAGAGGAGAAGAGAAGAGAAGAGAAGAGAAGAGAAGAGAAGAGAAGAGAAGAGAAGAGAAGAGAAGAGAAGAGAAGAGAAGAGAAGAGAAGAGAAGAGAAGAGAAGAGAAGAGAAGAGAAGAGAAGAGAAGAGAAGAGAAGAGAAGAGAAGAGAAGAGAAGAGAAGAGAAGAGAAGAGAAGAGAAGAGAAGAGAAGAGAAGAGAAGAGAAGAGAAGAGAAGAGAAGAGAAGAGAAGAGAAGAGAAGAGAAGAGAAGAGAAGAGAAGAGAAGAGAAGAGAAGAGAAGAGAAGAGAAGAGAAGAGGAGAGAGGAGAGGAGAGGAGAGGAGAAGAGAAGAGAAGAGAAGAGAAGAGAAGAGAAGAGAAGAGAAGAGAAGAGAAGAGAAGAGAAGAGAAGAGAAGAGAAGAGAAGAGAAGAGAAGAGAAGAGAAGAGAAGAGAGCCTTGGAGTCTGTTATCTGGACAGCTGTCCTATAGGAAGGGCTGATGGAGGCAAGAGTATAGCCAGGCAAGAGATACAGATGGGACCTCATATGGGTGGTCTCCAAAAAAGCCCCTTCCCTCTAATGGAGGAGAAAGAGCCCAAGTGATGGGATCATCCACCCCAGAAGGTGAACATATCACTTGGCTTTGCTTTCAGAAATATAAAAAAGCAGGTGGCAGGAAACCCAAAAGCAGCTAGGAGGAGGAGAGCAGAGGTGGGGCTGGTTTAGGCTAGAGAAGACAATCTTTGTGTGTGTCTGTGTCTGTGTCTGTGTGTGTGGGTTGAGGTGGGAGGGCACCTCTTGGTGCCATCTCTTTGGAAAAGCACTCATCCATTCCAGGAAGATCCCTGGACTTCAATACCTCCCTTTTGCTCCCTCAGAACCTGCCTGGTGTTTCCTTTAGCAAGCATGCGCCGCACATACGCTACCGTACAGGTGTATTTACATGTGATGAGGTCTGCCAAGTCTCAGCAGAGGTCTCTCAGTACAATGCTCCGACATAACAACAGAAAGAGTTTTTGGTGTTCAGGGTGAGACCATCTTTGCGTTGCACCGCAGCTCAGGACAGTCTCTGCTCCTCTCCAGCTCTCTTCCACTCGTGCACTCCCTCGGCTGTGAACCGGCTGCTGCAAGGAGATCATATTTGAAGAGCGATGAGGAGAAAGCGAGTGGTACCAGTTCTTAGCTCCAGCTTAGCAGGCAGCAGCAGCAGCAGCAGTGGCAGGGGGAACTCCACCCCCACCAGGAGTGCCCCGAGGTCAGTCCATGGCATGGGTCAGTCTGTTTCTCTCCGAGGCTGATGAAGTTTTGGGGTGGGTACAAAGGACGGGGAAATGCAAGGCAGGGAAAGGAGGTGAGGGAGTAGCAAACGGAAGACACAGTGCCTATAAAGCAGCAGGTCATCAAGCCTCTGAGGAACAGGGCAGCAAAGTGCTACATGGGGACAGCACGACCACAGGAGGCCCAGCTGGGCTGGCAGGGTGTTAGGATGTGTGAGCATGTAGGTTGGCAGCTTCTGGAGATGGTTCCTCACAATTAGCATCATCTTGAGGGGAGACAGGGTAAAGTTAGGTCAGTCAGCTTTTTTTTTTTTTTTTATATCTTTTCTTCTTCTTTTACTAAAAAATAAATCACAAACTAGATCTCTGTAGGCAGAAAGGGTCTCCGGGAGGTGGTGGGGAAGGGAAGCAGGGAAGTCTGTGCTGTTTTGGTGCTGGTGGTGTGGCTACACGAGGCTGCGTGAACCACTGGAGTACCTGCGCCTCTGAAGCAGGGAGCTGGGGGGACAATACTGGTGGGGGTGGTTGTAAGGAGGTGGTGGAGGTGGGAGAGGAGGCTGATGGACCAGCTTCATGGGCGTCCCGGGGAGCCCACTGCCCACACCACGCCAAGGGGTGGAGGTGCAGGAATCGGAGGTGACGTAGCGTGTCAGAGTCTGGTTGAGGGCCGGCTCCATCCGAGCCAGGCACGGCTTGTCCAAAACAATGACTTTGACAATCTGCTGGCACTGTACAAGTGTCCCCGCCGAGGCGGGGTGCGAGGGCACCAGTGCTGTCTCCAGCCGTTCCCGTGGCATGTTAAGACGCGTGCTGGGCTGCATTCCACTCTCGGGCCCCAGGGTGGAGTTGTGCTGGTACGTTTGAAGCCTGTTGTGAATTGACACCTAGTTTAGAAACAGCCAAAGAAGCATTACATGTTACAAAGACTTTTCCCATCTGCTGCTACTGGCTGCCCTGAAGCCCCACCACATGCATTAAACCCCCTCCTCAAAAAAAAAACCCACAAAACAACAAAAAACCCCCAAAAACCCAGACCAGGCACAATCCTTGGCTGTCCAGCCCCAGCAATGTCCCCATCTAGGCCTAAGTGCCCCTGTCCTTTCCATCACGCTGAAGGCAGCAGGGCCGACGTCCCCAAGTACGGTGCAACTTGGATTAATCCAAAGGGCACAGGGAACGCAAATCAACTCTAGGAGCAGAGGCATCCGTCAGTTCTCATGGTAGTGAACAGACCTCAGAGGTCATGGCCTTGTCCCCACCAACAAAAAGGAGAGGGGAACCAGACAGCAAAGTTTCAGATAATCGAGGCTGTAGGTTTCAGCAAAATGACGGTAGCTGGATCTGAGATAGAGAGAGACAGAGAGACTCGAGCCCTTCCCAGCTCCCTGCCTTCTGAGTAGGAAGGTACAGCACATGACTGGCTAATCTGTTTACAAAGGAAAAAGCAGAAATCTGACATACTCTAGCAAAAGGCAGCTCCCTCTGCTCCGTTTGATGGTTTGTCAGTGAAAGGAAATGATTTTTCGAGAAAAGAAAAAAAAAGGAAGAAAGAAAGAAAGAAAGAAAGAAAGGAAAAAAAAAGCCCGTCTGGCTCATACAATGATAAAAGAAATTCATGATGAAATGGCAGCAGATTAGATCATCTCAAAGAAATGGAAATGTTACTCTGCTGGCAGAGTATTACTGCAAGGGGGAAGGGAAGCAGGAGGTCATCAGGGTCCCCAGAGAGATGCTGAGAGTGGAGTCAAATAAGGGAGCTCGCTGAGTCCAGTTTTAAAAAGGAGTGGGCCTGGACTGGAGGTCCACAGGAGGAGAAGCACAGCAGGAAAACGGTGCTTCCTGAATAGTGGATGAAGTTCTAGTTCCTCCTGCCAAGGCCATGAGCTGATGGAGACCCCAAACCAGAGCAAAGCTGCCAGCTCAAAACAATCAAGTGGCAAACCCTGGGTAGGAGACAAGCGCTTGTAGATCGGCATGGCACTTCCAGCTAGGGAGGGGTACAGGTGGGCAGATGGGACAGTGGGGTGCCCTGATGGTCTGGTACGTTGGGCAGCAGCACCAGCAACTAGGAAGGAGAAGCTGTGGAGTGGCCAAACTTGGCATGATGCTGGGCCAAGGGTTGAGCTGTCCGTCCCTACTCGAGCATGGAGGTTGCTCAGAGTCACCGCACAGCAGGACATAACATCGTGTCAATATTTATTCAGGCAGTGGAACAGCCCCTAGGAAAAAAACTGGGCCCTGAGGTGCTAACAACCATTCTCCACAAGGAGAACACTCCTCCCAACAGGCAGAAGAAATTTGGTGGGAGAAGCACCTTCCCCAGGAAGGGGGTGTCTGCAGGGAAATGCTCATTAGGGAAAAGAAGCAGCACCCACTCCCCACAGAGAAGCTAAACTCTTCAAGTAAATATTCAATGATGAGAGGGGAAAGAACTACTCTGGAAAAGGGCAAATTCAGGACAATGGAGATATTCCAGACAGGGAGAGAGTAGAAAGTAGTCAATAAGATTTTCAGTATGAAGATTGCATTTTCCTGTTTCCTCACAGGCAGTGGGAGTATTGGGTGTCTGTGAAGAAACAGGCAACCCACTGGGTGTCAAGACATCCCTGCAAAGATAGACGCACACAGGACAGCCAAGCTCCCTGCCTAAGGAAGGTGAAGCTTTAGGGAAAATCTCTGGTAGACAAAGGCCATGCTTAATCCCCTTCAAGGGGGTGGATGGAGAGATAGAGCTGCAGAGATTGTGCAGGAAAGCTGGGCAGCAGGGAATTTGCATGTGATGCTGCATGGAGTTAGCATGTCAGGGAAGTCTTTAGTGGGGTTCTCAGTCTCCCCGTAAGCAGTGGGGTGGGTTAGTCTACAGCGTTTGGGAGCTTGGTCTATGAGGGATGTTACAGTTATAAAAACGGATTGAAAAATGCTTTGAAGTTTAGGTTGGATTTGAAAGTTGTATTACCCGTCCTAGCAGTAACTTTTAATTGTATCTCTGGAAATTGGTAAAATTGTCAGTCTGGCTGGGGAGGCATTGATTAAAACCTGAGAAAAGAAACAACAGAGAATGTGAGAAGAGCTGAAGTGAGAGAGAATTACTTACCTCAGCTGCTCTGCACTCTACTTACCTCCACTGTGCTGTCCGAGACCTTCTCCCCCAAATCCTTCTTGCCTTTGAAATAAAACAAAAGCTCTCACTCATGAGGCCTGTACTTCTAGTCAAGAGCTGGACCTTACACTGTGGACTGGAAAGCTCAAGGGAGAAGTAGGGGCCAAACAAGACTCTTGACTGCAAGGACAAATCCCGACTCTCTTGTAACCTGGTAGCTGCTTAGTGGGGTAGCAGGAGTCCCCTTTGGGGTCCCATCCTCAGGTCCTGGTCTCTAGTGAGTTGGTAGCCACTCGTCTCTGCACTTGATTTTTGCTGGCAGACAAGACAAGGCAGGAATGGACACAAAGCCTTTGATACGAAGAGGCTGGTCCAAAGTGTTGGAGAAGAGACTGGAGGAAGTTCATAGTGAAGTTACTGTGTTGTATCAGTTCAGGGAAGACCAAGTGGGCCAGGTTCTCCAGCAGTTACCTGTGCTCCACCAGTAACATCTCTTTGCTGGATGGTAGAGCTACAGACTGGGTCATGAGACTGGAATGGCTTTTCTAGGGTATTTGAGGAAGGCATATGCTCTCATAGCTCCACTATAGGACAAGGGGAAATGGTTTTAAAGTAAGAAAGGAGAGATTTAGGTGAGATATGAGGAGGAAATTTTTCACCCTAATAAGGCACTAGCCCAGGTTGCCCAGAGAAGCTGTGGATGCCCCATCCCTGGAGGTGTTCAAGGCCAGGTTGGATGGGGCCCCGGGCATCCTGATCTAGTGGTTGCCAACGCTGTCCACAGCAGGAAGGTTGGGACTGGATGATCTTGAAGGTCCTTTCCAACCCAAACCATTCTATGACTCTATTTGCCCAAGGCTGAAGGATACAAAACTGAGAATTTCTTTTTGCAGTCATTCTCCCAGGAATCAATGAGAACACATTTGCAAAGGCAGCACTGCTTGACCAAGAGAAATCGGGTGTCCTCTTACCTGTTGGAGAGCCTTGCTTAGACTGCAGTTCCATCTGGGCTCCATTGGTCCTTAAGGAGAGAGACTTTGCCCCTTGCTGTTTCTCCAATTCCCCTGCAAGACAGACACACGGAAGTGAATGAGGAGAGGGATGGAGGGAAGGACACGAGCATATTATGGGAAGTCAGCAAGGAGAATTAATGCAAGAAAATGACAAGTGTCAAGAAGGGAGGGAGAGAGGAACAGCCAAGAAAAACAGAGAAACTGGAAAGGACTTGACACGTGGATGAACTTGCCTATCTCCACACGACCTTCTGTGCATGACCTGCATGTACACAGAACAGGTTATTGCTGCACAGGAAGGGACCTCTGATGTGAGGCTACTTCGGGTCATCAGTTTATATGTGGCAAGGCCATCAAAGGCTACATGGACATCCGTGATAGGCCACAGAGGGACACAATACAGACTGCTTTCCCCCAAGACATTCCTGGAGTGAAGGACAACTCTGCTAAGGCTACAGGTCCTGTACTTCCCAGCTATCCACAGATCATATTTGCAAAGTCAAAGGAGTATGGGATGGAGAAGAGTCTTCTGGGTCTGACAGTCTAAGCTTCACTATTCCAGGCCACTCTACTACACAGCCTGTTTCATAAGCATCATAAGTACTTAAATTCTTCCGTTTCTCCTGCTGCCAGGTGGTCACAGAGCCTGACCTAATGGTGGAAACCAAGAACAATCCTGTGCAGACTTGTGCTACTCATCCTCTTTCTCCCTCTTCCTGAAGAACCCATCTCCTTTATCCTTTCTCCCTTGTAGACACATAGAGTGTGTCAGCATTGGAGTGTGAATGCTGTCAGAGGTCCTTACATTCAATTCGTATCTGCTCCAGCTCCGTCACTTCTGCTATTGACTCTTTCAGATCTTCCACAAACTTCTGCATTTCCTCAGCACCCAGAGCACAGAAGTGTAGTACCTGTTTCTTCTCTGAGCCTGAAACTGGAGTCACCAGTGTGATGCCATGGGGGTAATCTGTAAAGAAGATGTATCAACAAAATAAAGAGGTGTTTGTTAGGAGTAGTTGTCTGCTTTGGTACTTCTGCAGGACAGAGAGTTTCCACCACGATTCCAAAGGAAAGGCACACCTCGAGTTTGTCCCTCTGCAAACTGGAGGAACTTGAAGCACTTCAGCCCTCCAAGGGAACAGAATGGCCAAGCTGCAGCAGCAAGGCAAGTGCCACCCATGCCAGACCACTGCCAAAACCACTGTAGCTCTTAGGTACACTTCATGCAACAGAATCATAGTGGTTGGAAAAGACATTTAAGATCATCAAGTCCAACCATAAACCCAACACTGCCAATCCCACCTCTAACCCATGTCCCTGAGCACCTCGTCTGCCCGTCTGTTAAATTCCACCAGGGAAGGTGACTCCACCACCTCCCTGGGCAGCCTGTTCCAATGCCTGACCGCCCCTTGGGTGAAGAAATTCTTCCTCACATCCCATCTCAACTGCCCTGGCCACAACTGGAGCCCATTTCCTCTTGTCCTGTCCCTTGGTCCTTGGTTGAACAGACCCACCCCCACCTCTCTCCACCCTCCTCCAAGGGACTTGCACAGAGCCACAAGGTCTCCCCTCAGCCTCCTTTTCTCCAATAACCCTAGTTCCTTCAGCCATTCCTTGTAGGACTTGTCCTCCAGACCCTTCCCCAGCTTCATTGCCCTTCTTTGGACCTGCTCCAAAACAAGTCAAAGGGCCAACCTGCTATTTCCTGCCACCCCTCTGCTCCCCACTTTGTGTCCCAGGCCCCTTTTCCCACCCTCTGTCTGTCTCCTCTGTTCAGATCTCACAAGCCCTTTAGGACATCTGCTTTTCTGTCTCTGCAGGGGATACACAACAGGATGCCTCTGCCAGAAGATCCTTGGGCACTGCCAGGATAGTCACCATACCCCTGAAAGCTGATCCCAGCTCAGATGGTGCCTCTGGGGATGCTCAGCTATGAATGACTCTTTTGTACATCCCGGGATATGAAAGCCTCTGTGTGCTGCAGAGCAGAGAGTGTCAGGAGAGAGACTCGTGCTGCCAAGAGGGTAGAGGGAGGATGTAAAAAAACTTAGTATAGCCTCAGTGCTGCTAGAGTCTTCCTTCCTTGCAGCATGTTCTGCAGGTCTTCACAAAAAGCCCAGTGGGCATCAGCCAGACTTGCCTGGGACTGCTGTGCACCAGCAGGAAGCCTGCCTGTTTCTGGAACTCCTCCACCATGCAACCAGCTTCAATCATGACACATCATGGCTCTATTCCCAGACCATCAAGGTCAGGCTGACTAGGGCTGGCCTCTGGCCATGCTTTGGTGGGTGCTGTTCCAAGTGTTCTGCTCCTGTCTTGGGAAGCTTTCAGCACAGCAGAGCAGGGCACAGGGCGGGAGGCAACAGCACCAACACCTGAGCCTTTATCAGTGTCAAAGGTAGAGGTGGGAGCTGTGATTTTGGGCATGAGGGCAGAGGGGCTAAAGCTGAAGCAGTAGTTTTGTCAACGCGGTTCTCCACCTACAGTTGGCTCCTGAGAGCTCAGTGAGATGTATCTGGGGATTGATTCCCTCACTCCTCCCCACTAGCGCTCTCTCTGCCACCGTGACAAGCCAGATCCTTCAATTAGCTTAACTCCAGCCCTTCTGCAGACTAGCAAGAGGTACCAGGAGCCTCTTCTCATCGCACTGTACCTGCACAGTGATCTCTTCATCACCGAGTCTCAGTTTTCTCCTCTCCACATTTAACCTTGATGGAATCTCTATTCCGATGCAAACTCATACTGGGTGACTCAGCCCCCTCCCTCCTTCCCCCTGCCAAACCCCTCCAGGCAGCCAAGGAGCGATGGACTTACATTCATTCTCAAAGAGATGGAACTGCATCCCTAGCAGGCCGACTGACTTGCAAAATGTGTAGGTTGAGGAGCTTTTCTTCTTGGGGCAAAGCTTGAGGATCTGTTGAAGGGAGAGATGCATCATTGAGCAGGGTGCTGGGGAACAGTGAGGCCAGGACAATGCAAACTGCTCAAAGCAAAACAAGCTTTCTGCAAGCTCTGTTAATAGTACATGGGAGTAACACTTGGTGACTGATAGGCTCTTTGCCCAGGAAGCTGCTTGGCATGCTCCCACCACTTCTGAAATTCTCTGTGCACAGCCCTGGGGTTCACTCAGCTCTGTCTCCCAGGGGGTGCTGGCTTTTTGATGCCCACATTTCTGACTTTGCAAGGGTAATTCTTTTCACCGAGGGCTAGATCAAAAGGTGAAGGGAAGCCTGTCAGAAATACCTTAGAGCTGGGAACAAGAGCATGTGTGAACGCTGCACTGGTTCTTATGGATCTGGTTTATCCCATGGAGCAGAGGGATAGCAAGGAGCAGACCCTCTCCCCAGGTTCACAACTGTACAAATGGGTGCAGAAGAAGAGGTGGGGGAAGCTCTCTTGTCCTCTGCCCCGACAAAAGGGTTTGGTTTTAGCCTGACATTTGCAATATCCACAGTTTCATTTTGGCATTAAATTGAGCAGAACTTCCACCTTGTTTGGTGTCCTTCCAGTCCCAGCGTACCTCTGCCCTTCCTCGTACCTGTCTGAACTCCGTTGCAAGGTTGCTGGGGCAGGACACTTTTAAAATACAGACATTTGAGGCTCCCAGTAAGTACTATCTACTCTCCTACAGCCTTTGCAATGTTAGAAGGTTTTAAAGCATCTGGCAGGAAAGATTGGAAGTGCATGGGAGGGCTCTGTCTACTGTAGTACAAACAGACAAAGAAATGAACCTCCCTTTCATGAAACGAACCTCCCTGCTGGCAAAGGCATGAGAGAGAGAGCAATGACATTGCTTGGATGGCTGTGGGATGTGACAGTTTGTTTTTTTCAAGGGTTAGAGGAGTTTTAGATTTGGTAGTTTTTTAACAGTGAAGGATTCAGAGCTGTGTCTTACCATGGTGATGGACCAGGAGATGGTCTGTCCTTAGGATAGGGAGGAAATGGATGTTGGGGATTTGTTTTAGATTTCTGTACAGAAATTAAAGTGAGTTTTCTCAATGTAGCCCCTAATTGCCAGAGCACACTCACCACCAGCAGGTCATTGAAGAGAAACACTTCCCTCTGGTGAGCTGCCTGCTTCTGTACTTTGTTCACATCAGTCACTTCATACAAGCGGCTGCAGCAGACCAGCCGGCGATGGGGCACAGACAGAACCTGCAGAAGACCCACAAGACCATGCAGGGGCTCAGGGAGGTGCCACTGTGGGTCTCCCCAACGACCCTGCTCAGTAACAGTAGCACAAGCAAATTCTGCCCACTCTGTCCACTCGAATCATCTCCTCACCATCACTATGCCCCTGTGATCTGGATAACTCAAAGGAGTGGGACAGGCTATAGGGAACCCTCTTGCTCACACACTCTATCTTCATACACCTCTGGCTTCCAGTCATGAGGTGACTGGTCATCCTCTCTCACCTTACTGGACATCTGCAGGTTTCCCGGGTTTTGAGAAATGATTCTGCTCATTTTGGGTGACAGTATGTATGTTTTTGCATGACAGATTGGCTACTGCTAAAGAAGCTGTCTGCATTTGAGGGTCTCTTATCCCCAGCAGTCCTTAAGGAACTCATTAGAGACAGATGGGTGACATTGTTTACTCTCACTTTGCCTTCCACTTCCTACACCCTCCCAAGGCCTGGAAGTTTGAAACACTGCAGAGCTATCACTGGAACATTGGAACAGGTTGCCCAGAGAAGTTGTGGATGCCCCATCCCTGGAGGCATTCAAGGTCAGGTTGGATGGGGCCATGGGCAACCTGATCTAGTGGTTGGTAAACCCTGTCCACAGCAGGGGGGTTGGAACTGGATAATCTTTAAGGTCCTTTCCAACCCAAACCATTCTGTGATTCTATGATTGGTAGGTAGGACCTGCAATGAGATCCTTGGGCAAGCAATTACCAGACCAGATACTAAAAACTCTGGCCAAGGAGATCCCCCAAAACTGGGAAAGAATGAGATTGCAAGGAAAAAAAAAGTGTCTGGAGAAAAAGGAATGAATTCATCAAGACAAGCAAGGTAAGTGTTACAGAAGAGGAGTAGGGGCACACAGGAGAAAGGCAGAGAAGAGGGCCGGTGAGGGAGGTGAGAGGGGTGAGGGGGTGCCAGAGGCATTACGGGTGCTCACCGTTTTCATCCCAACTATGGACTTCTCCACTTTGGTGACGTAAGTCACATGGTCCTCATTGGATTTCAGCTCTTTCTGCTGGATCCTCTCGTAGATCCCCACCACCAGCTCCCGTGGGATGTCAGCACCGTCATCTACCCCTGCCAAACACAGAAAATCCGGAGGAATAATACTTTGCTGTTACTCTGTCTGTGATATCTCTGTCTTGGCCCTGTCCCTTTCCTCTTTTACATCTCCTTAGGCAGGGGGAAAAGGAAAGGGAAGAGCTGGTGGTCCCTGACAGGCAACTACTGCCTCTGCACTGGGCAGTGCTGGGGAAAACGAAGGGAAATAGCAATACTGTGCTTCAGGCTCTCTTCTTTCTCACTCTAACATATCTAATGCACCCGCATGAGAGACTGACACCTCTGAGGCCAATGCAGAAGACTTCACTATTCCTTTGCTCTGCATGGTGGCTCCTTTCCATGTGTTCCCTAAGGTTTTACAGGCACAATTTCACAATCATATATCCTGGGCTGCTCAATAGCAACCCCTGCATTGATCTCATATCATCAGAAGTGCTAGACATGGAGGAGATCTATGACAGGACCCAGCTGCTCCTGCTGCCAATGCAAGCATCAGCTCTTCTGTTTGCTTTGTGGCCTCTACCATTTTCCTTCTGTGCTGTCTCCTTGGAGTAATATTTTGCTGTTACTCTGTCTGTGATATCTCTGTCTTGGCCCTTTCCCTTTCCTCTTTTACATCTCCTTAGATAACTCTTGCTGTCTGACCCTTGCAGAGCCTGCCAGAAATGTTTTCTTTCACCTTTCCCTGAGCCAAACGCCACAAATTAAACTCCCAGTCTTTCCTCTGAACTGAATTCCTCCAGTCATTTTATATTGATTTTCTCTGCTTTCTCTCCAGCTCCTGCTCTGAGATGTACGACTGCGAGTGATGGAGGTGAGGAACTGCTGAAGAATGAAGAGGCATTGTCACCTCCTGGGTCCCTCATCCATGTCCTTGCAAATGTAGCCTGAATACTCTGTCTTTTTGCAAACATAGGCTGGTGAAGTTACTGACCTGGGCACTGGCCTGCAGATGAGTCTGGAATGAGCTGTCTCCCCTTGTCTATAACGAGGTGACACTGACTCGCTCTAGTGAGTTGTGGTGTGTTACACACTGGAGGTGAGTGGTCCTCATGTTGGCTGAATTCATTGTCATGTCAGTGAACTGGCAGATTTTCAAGCAACTCTTTAAGTTAACACAAAGAAACCTTTTGAGTTCATGCCATCAGCTGTGATACCAAAGGGGATGATGGTGGGTATCAGCCCCATCCAGTATCTCCAGAAATAACTTGAAAGAGAGCCTCAGTGTCACATTAGATGAGTCTGAAGTGGATGACAAATTGGGGAAGGTGTGGGAGGCTGAGAACAGCAGTCAGGGCAAAGAAACAAGTCAAAGGAACCCACAGAAGTTCAAAATCTAGACAGGGATTTACACTGGAAAAACTCTGAGGGATTTTCATCCAAATTGCTGATGTGCAGTAAGAGACACTTAGAAGATGACTGGCCTAGGGTGACCTAGGAGTGAATATGGCTGGGAAATTAGGCAAGAATTTGTCTAGACATGAAGTAAAAAAGGCCAAACAATACTAAGCTGCATTAGCAGATCTGAAAATAAGGAGGAGGCAGTGGTTCTATCTATGAGTATGTTGTGACCACATCTGCAAAAGTGCTTTTAGCAACCTATTACCAAGATGGAAAGGGCTGACCTTGAAAAACAGAAGAAAATGTATTTGGGAAACTGATGTATCAGAAATTGCGAAGAGGTAATGTATGCATGAACTCTGTCAGGCCTGCAGTTACTACAAGCAATTGCAAGCAATTAAGAAGGGGAAGATTTATCCTGAATGGAAGGAAAATGTGTTCATATATTCAAAGCAGCAAGGAGGGGAAGGGCTTGTTTAGCACAATCCAGCAGGGTCTAAGAAGGATGGAGCTGAACAATAGGAAAATGAAATACAACGGACTGCTTCCAAGCAGTGAGATCTATTAAAAGATGAAACCATCACTCAAAGAAAATGGTTGGCTTCTGAGAAGGCTGGACAGCTTTCTGCAGAAGACAAAGCTTAGATTTTTTCCCCTTCCCCAGCATCCTAGAAGACACCTCAAAGGGCCCTCCACATCTGGCTCACAGGGAACAGCAGCAGCCCTGAAGAAAGGCAGCTCCCCTAGCAGAGCTTGACCTAAGCAGAGTTTAGAGAAGCAAGGTGTCAAAAAAAAATAATAATGAAAAAATCAAAGCAGGACCCTCACCTCTCAGATTGCGAATGAAATCCTCCAGCATCATCTTCCTGTCAGGCTTGATGTTGGGGCTGTACATGTCCGTATTGAGGAGGATGATTGCAAAGGCCAAGATGAAGATGGTGTCCGGGTTGTGGAACTGCTGGACCACATCTGGGTTACACATGCAGTACCTCTGGCTGCAGCAGGAGGGATGCACACACTTAACAGGGAACAGGGGTGCCAATGGCTTCATCACAAATGAATCACATTCCTCCTCTCACTCCAACTCTCACACAAATGAGAAGGAACTGACTGCTCTGTGAAGGCAAATTTACCACCAACAGCTGAAGCAGGTCACCAAAACTTCAACATTCTCGTCCTCAGGAACTAAAAGAGCAAGTGAGACTGGAGAGGACTACCCAGGCTGGTGTCACTGCATAGGGTAATACAGGAGGTGCCTACTCCAGCCTGCCTTGCTGAGGGCAAAGTGCTCCTCTGGATACACCAAGGGAGAACCCAGCACCCCTGCAAGCCCCAGTGCTGCTCTTCCTGTCAGTCACCAGTGACCAGGGAAGCCCCTTGCTGGCAGAAATGTCAGGCCTGGCTTCACTTTGTGCCCTTCATGCCCCTGATAAGGACACAGCACAGAGGACTCCATGCTTCAGAAACCCCTATGTGATGACCTTCTCTGGAAGGGAGGTCCCTGGCCATTCACTCTGTAGCTGCTGTATCTCTTCAGCCTTGGGTGTGCTCTCTGCAGGGCTCGTTCTCTTACCTGAAAGCCTCAATGAGCCGCTCCACCTTCTGCGCTTCCCCCTGCACGCGGATGTGAGCCTGGAACTTCCGCAGGGCTTCGTCCAGCTCCATGCCTGAGAAATCCATCTCGTCCACCACGCAGCTGCAGGAAGGGGACACAGCCTTCATCAGCACCTCCTCCCGTGGAGGACACCAGGCAGGCTCCTTCACTGCTCAGTCCCCAGAGGAAATACCACGGGAGAGGCCCTGGGACATCACTACAGCTGCCCAGATCACACTTCAGATGGGCAGTAACTCAGCAACCAGTGATTCCTGCTTCCTACAGCAGATACACAATTCTTGTGCCTAACCATTCACAGAGACAGATATATAGATATATATATGTATGTATATACACCATGAGATATATATATGTCTCATATCATACCACATACAGCATATATATTTATGTATACACATCCAGAGAAAGTATATCTATATAGAGAGAGATATTTATCTGTATCTATATATGTAGATATCTAGACAACTATATTGACATAGATCTTCAGACACCTATATCAATACCTGTCCTGCTTTTGCTGGGACAGAGTTAATGTTCTTCTCAGCAGCTGGAGCAGCTGTGCGTTGGGTTCAGTGTGGGGTTTGTGATGAGAAGAATGTTGATCAGGTACCAATGTCATTAGTTGCTGCTGCAGCCCAAGCTCATTGTGTTTGGGGAGTTGCAGGTGCAAAGGGCTGGGAGGGGGGAAGCGCAGTAATTAGCAAAACCCCAAATTGGCATTTGGCTCTGCCAATGAGATATTCCATCTCCTATCCCGGCATGGGCAGGACATGAACCAGAAAGTGGGGGGATTATCTCAGGAATCACTCAGGCTCGCTTTTCCAGGATTGCAGTTGCAGGGTCAAGGTTCCTTTTCGCTCCTCTGCGATCGCTGTTGGTGGGTGGTGAGCAATTGTACTGT